TGACGCTGAAATCGCGTTTGGTGTGAACGCACCATAAGGTTGTTTAAAGACAGGTAAGATATCAGTTGTTCATAACTTTCACAGATATTGAAATATCTAAATTATTCCCTTAAGAGAAGCTGTTTTAAAGTTCGTTGGTACCAATCGGCAGATGTAAATAATAAATGCCATCTGGCGTTTAATCCAAGTCAGAAACCCACTGTGTTAAAGTCCACTTACTCTTTAGTATCCCTCTAAAACCCAGGCTCCGTTTAGGGTGAGAGTTGCTGGAATCATCATGCCTGGCTGTGAGCTCAGTGGTTTTTCCTACCTGTCTGTCTCAATTACATCTCAAATACAGAGCAGACCTCATGAACTGTAGTACCTCAGTAACTGAGTAAGTACTGACAACAAGGAAACAAAAACAAACAACATACTTTGAATTTATTCACTGCTGTTATCTCTGTAACATTAAGAGCCAGACCTCAGCACAAACCTGAAACAAGGTATTGCATTGTGAGATTTGGTGAATACAGTAAATGTGCTTTGGAAATGTTGTATGGGGTACCTATAGCTCAGTGCTGCTCATCACACTCACAGGCAAGACATTAAATTTTCTCAGGCCTGGGAAGACCTTGGGATCCCCCAGGAGTAGAGGAAAGTGTCGATGTGGACAGGGAGATCAGCGTTCCCTTTGTTGAACGTGCTACCCTATCAACACCACCACAGATAACTGACTGACAGATGAATGGACAGATGGATTGAACGTTTGGATAGGCTAGACTAGACTAGAATAGAATAGCCTTTATTTTCATTGCACAATCTCTACAACGGAACTGAACATAGAAGACATAGAACTATATATAATATAAATACACCAATCCAGACTCCGTCTGCCCCCTGGCTCTGCACAAAGAAATTCTGTCCATAAAAACTGTGAACAGAATCGTGACAATGGGTCAGTCCTGGCAGAGTTCAACTCTCCCTCTGAAGGGGCCCAGCTTACTACAAAGCAAACCAAACTCTTGCACCTCTTGTATAGGGACTGAATGGCCTGTAACATTGGACCCACAATCCCATAATCGTGGAGGAACAGGGTCAAATGCCTTTTCCAAGTCCACAAACATATGTAGACTGGATTAGTAAACTCCCATGACAGAAACAAATATTAAATATATTTTATTCTGATTTGTGATAATCTTATTACCTTCTACATGAACAAATCAAGGTTTACAAAGCCCTTTAATATAACAGAATTTCACTTTATTTATTATTTTATTTATTTGTTTCTTTTATCAAGTGGCCTTTACCTAAGATACTTTGTCTGTTTCTTGAGTGAAAGTTTAACAGGAAGGCATAAAAGTAAAAATCACCTTAAAGGGGCAACATCATGTAAAATCAACTTTTTTGAGTTTTATATCATGTTATAATGTTATACTCTCATAAAAAACATGCCCAAAGCCTTGCTCTGACTCATTCATGCATGTTTGAGATATCCTGCAGCATTTTTAGGAAGCCATGCTGAGGAGCAAAACGACAGATAGGGACCAGAAACACCTATTTGGACCAGAAACGCCTCTGGGTTGTGTCCTTTTGGGACAATCTCCTCCTCTGGGATGTGTCTTTCAGCCAAACTTCCTCATGGCAGAGCCACCCCCCCCCCCACACACACACACACACACACACACACACACTCACACACCTCGCCCAGGATCGGCAGTGACAAAGCAAACAACGGGTGAAACTGAAACTGAAACTGTCTGCTGAGCTCCTAACACTTTCTCACTCAGTGAAGCTCTTTTCAGATTAAAAATACATTTGAGGAAATGTATTTTCAGATGCCAAGTAAACTGCATCATAGCGCTTGCACAAACCGCGCATGCTGAAATGGGCGGGACAGAAGTGGAGGGTGGTTCTTAAAGAGACAGAGGCCAATTTCAAGGCGTTTAGAAGAGGAAGTGATGAGAAGATAAGTTTATTTTTTATTTAAACATAAAAACAGCATTTTAATAATAACTAAAGGTGGCATAGATACTTTATTATGGTATAGTATTTAAATGTATGCCTGAGAAACACATAATATTGCCCCTTTAAGAACAATTCATTGTTCTTCAGTGCAACAAATGTAATGTTTGCAAACTTAATGTTCAATATTCACAATTACAAAAATGACCAAAATAATCATAATTATGGTTTTTTTTTCAATAACCAAGTATCATTAGAACATATGTAGAGGAGCAAGAACCACTATTTGTTCTCTTTAAGGTACTTCATACCCTTGCGAGTATAAAACATGAAGTGTTGCATAGACTGTATGGATGATTTTCAGAACGCACGCGTGCCGAACAGTGTGTGTACCTGTGTTCGAAGGATCTCTCCTTTGGTTAGTTGCATGTCTCCTGTGAGCTCTTTAACAGCGATGCCTAGAGGTTCCAGTCTCTTACTGAAGTAATTAGTCATCTCAGCTGCCAAGGCTTTCATTGGAGCCACATATACGATCTACAGAACAAGAGGAGGAGAGCAGAGTGGAAATAAATAGGATGGAGGACAAAGAGTGCTAAGGTGAGCAAGGTAGAAAATGGAGGGGGGGCAACTAGAAGGACACTGTGGTGATAAATGAGCAAACAGAGGCAGTATCATTTGTTCCCTGGCAACCAGCACAAATCACAATTTATTGAGAAATACTATGCCAGCCACTTGCATGGGCAAAGTTTAATGATGATGTATGAAAAGTGGCTCCCATCACTGGCTGCCATCGTGCACCAATAAGTCTGTGCTTGTGACTGTAAACTTTCATCAAAGAGAACAAAATATTTTGAATATCTAAAGTATTTATCCAAGGGGCCACTGGATTTACCATTTTTGAAATATGGGTGATGATAATTTTATAACAACTACTGTATTTTTTTTTTTTTGGGGGGGGGGATCAGTTTATTATTCCTTTTTAAAAAGGAAAAAATAAACAAGGTCACTGTGGCAAAATAATAGGGGATACGGGAAGACTAAGAATGTTAGTTTTTCACCTTTTTTTTTACAAAAGAAATGTCACGCAGATGATTCCAGGAGTGAGACAGATCCAAGCCATAGAATCTGTCTATTCTCAGGTTATAAGAGTGCTCATTTAACAAAGTTTAACAGTAAAATGTAAGGCCATCAATCTTGTCATAACAGGAAGGCCAAATCACTTTGAGGGCAACATGACCTAACATGAAAATATGTATAGTACAATTCTGTCACATCAAATGAGAACTTCCTCTAAAGTTGTTTTTCCTTGTTTGATGTAAATGGCTTCCTTTACTCCCCTCTTAAACCATCTGTTTCCTCTGTCCAAAACATGAACAGTTTGGTTCTCAAAGGAGTGCCCGTCTTTGAGGTGTAGGTGCACAGATGAGTTTTGTCCTGAAGAGCTATCTCTCCTGTGCTGAGCCATGCATCTGTCAACAGACTGTCTAGTTTTTCCAATATAGACGTAAGAACATTCCTCGCTGCACTAAACTTCATGCAGCGTCATTTGGATGGACCAGCCTCTGTCACAGAGTCTTGTTGTCCCATGTCACGGAGCAAAGAGACAACTTGGAAGTACCTTTTTGCTTTTGTTATTCTTGCTGTTCTGTGGAATGTCTTTTAGATGTCCTTACTGACTTGACAAAAGTCCTGTTAGGACACAAACATGAGAGCTTTTCTGAACCTTATCCTTACCTTTGCTCTTCGTCAGGACATTTTCAGTCAGGTGGTGCGAAGTTCTAATGGATGGAGTTTGTGTTCTAGTGGGTGGTGAGTCAATCACGATACTAATCTGTTTGAGTTGGTTTTCTGCAAACTTCACTGTTGTGGATTCCGCCTTTTTCCACGTGCCCCAAACCATCCAAAAAAAGGCAGCTTTTTGTCATTTGTTTCCTCTTCAAGTTAAAAGCAAATATGGCATTGGCAATAACTACATGATAGGCAATTTGGGTACATGTTTCCACTGGAAATAGAAGAAAAACAATAAAATGTGGCACATTCTGCTAAAGCTAGTATCCGAGTTGAGACTAGGGTTGGGTACCAAAACTCGGTTCCAGTATAGCACCGGGGCGAAGATCAACGGTAGTACTCAGACCAAAACACAACTCTAATTTCGGTGCTTTATTTCGGTGCCTCAAAGAAAGCTGTTAATTGCGCCCTCTGGTGTTCACTGTTAACAGTGACAGCCTCGGCACAATCTCCACAGAGTGCTAACAACAATAAGGGTGAGTTATGAACTTTTAATGTGTTTTAACTGTCTAAATTAGCTGTTTCGGTCCGCTGTGTCAGACTATGAGTGGTAGAGAGAACAGTTGTGTGTTTGTTTCACTTCGAACGGAAGCGCAGTGAGCACCGTGTTTTTACTTTTGGCTTGAAACCGCACTGTAATTAGCGTGTCCGAGTTGTTTTTCTTTTAAAAAATGCTGGAATTGCTCACAGGAGGAATAGAAGAACACCTGTATTGTTCTCCCTGCTGGATTAAAATAAAAAGCTCTCGGTCCTTTCTCGCTGTTACATTTGAGCTGCCGCCGTGCAGCAGACAGACGCTACTCAGATCATGTTTGTTCTGACCGCAGTATAAAAGTTGTGATGCAGTTTTCCTTCAGTGTACATTCAAACTGTGCTCTAAACTTAACTTCAGCTGGTTTAAATGCATTTTTTGCCCGGTGTAAAAAAACGGGTGCAGACAGAGGCAGACTATGAGCACTGCGTGTGTGAGTGTGTGTGTGTGTGTGTGTGTGTGTGTGTGTGTGTGTGTGTGTGTGTGTGTGTGTGTGTGTGT